TGAATTTATTTCAAGGCATTAATATATTTAGATATGATGCAACTGCAATGTGTTCATCTAGTGCCATGTCGTCTACATTTGTATCTCATCAAACATCGATCAGAACTCAAAATTCGATACCTACAGAATTAATTGATTACTTCAATCATAATATGTCAACAGACAGAACAATTAAAAAAAAGTTCAAAAGAAGTAATTGAATTTTAGCGAAAGTATGAAAGACGTTGGCCAATTGTTTCTGCAATTGCGAAAGATCTGCTGACACCTCCAGTTAGCACTGTTGTTTCGGAATCTGCTTTTAGTACGGGTAAAAGGTTTTTGACCGATGTCAGAAGCCTACTAAAAGAAGATGTTTTGGAAACATTAATGTGCGTGAAGAATTGGCAAGACGCTCATTTTCGACTACAAGATAAATACGCTGAAATTGCATGTCATCAGGTAAGTTATATTTGATTTAATTTTATTAATCAAAATTTCTTTATTTTTTAATCGTTAAATTTAATTTTCTTTAAAAAATTATACACGTTACAACAAGTTGTTCGTGTATAATTTTTAACTCCACCTACTTAAAATTGATGTAGCTGCCCGGATAAAGGAGGAGAGTTTAAATTTTATTTACTTTAAAAAGAAATCAAAAAAATATACTTTTTGTAAATGTATTTCAAAAAATAATTTGTCTTCATTATATAAATATTTTTATACTTTATAAAAAGTATTAAAATATGATATAAATAAAAAAATAATAAAAAATTGTTTTCGTTAAATTATTTGTATTTTTTAACACTTTTTATTTTTTTTAAAAGTGTTTTCTATTATTTCATATATTTGTAAAACTTTTAATAAAAATTTTAAAAAGTTTTTAAAAAAAATTTGGACGAACCCACGAGCCCAAACTTGGCTCGGCCCACTAGCTCGGACGAGCCACGAGCTCCTGGGCCGAGCCGAGCTTGACTCGTTGAAAATAAGCCACAAGCGCGAGCTGAGCTCGTGAGAGCCGACTCGGCCCCTTGCCACCGCTACCTATGGCTAAAGGAGAGAAGTTCAATTTAATTAAATACCCCAAAATGACTTAAAAATTAAAGAAATGCAGAATATTCCTTATTCTTCAGTTATAAGGATATGATGTATGCTCAAATTTGTACGCGTCCAGATATAACGTAAATTGTTAGGATACTATGAAAATCTTAAAGTAACTCGATAATGGATCATTAGAAAGCAACCAAACGGGTCATACGGTATTTATAGAGAACAAAAGACTATATGCTCACATACAGGAGATCAGATCAGTTGGAGATCATCAGTTATTCTAATTTCGATTTCGCGGGATGCCAAGATAGCAGGAAATCCACTGCTATGAGGCATCAATCCGTGGAATATGACTGTGAAATTTTGTCACTGTGCTGCACATTGTGGACAGTATAGAAAGATTGCTCAAGTTATTTTGTGACAATAAATCAGCAGTATTATATTCCAATAACATTGGGAGCTTGACGAAGTTAAAATATATAGAGATCAAGTTCCTAACTGTTAAAGAAAGGGTCCAGAGTGGACAGGTATCAATAGAGCACATCGAGACAAACTCCATGATTGCGAATTCGCTCATTAAGGAATTGATACCCAAGGTCTTTCATGAGCACACTGCTCATATGGGTGTAATGTCTCTTGAGGATATTTAGTTTTCAGTGGGAGTTTGCATTTTTGTGCTAGACACGTATACTGTCATTTTGGATATGGTTTAAGGTTAATGAAATTTTCAGTTATAAAGTTTTGATTTATTATCTCTGAACTTATTCGAAGATGATTTCATTAAGGTATTAATGTAGACCAGTTGGAAATAGGCATGCTACAGATCATATCACATGTAATTTTCATAGTACACATCCATGTTTGATCCATATCATTCAGTTATAACGATATACGTGACCATTGATGGGTTTAGTTACAATAAAAGTAACGAAAGCCGCTTTGATCCTATGTTGATATAATTAATGGATCGAATTGTTTGGGGATGCATTAAGTAATGATAACAAAATTTTGAGTACTCATAAAGTTATGTTTAATGTACAATTATAAGGTGACACATATAGCCTAAGTGGAAGATTGTAAGGAATTTTAAACGATCATGTGGGCTTATATGTGCAAATTGTTGTATATTAAATTAAAGGCTATCGAATTCGGTTGAGCCCATTTAGTGATCTAATAAGGATTCGATTTTGGGCCGTTATGCATCCAATTAAAGTCTGGATTTATATATATGAAGAGACCGAGTCCAAATTCCTAATTCTATGATGGATCGAATTAGGTCAAAAGGCATTAGTATATATAAATGGTTATGGTCCTAAAATCACACGTAGAGACAGTATGTATTTTTCATTCTCTTCTACATCTCATCACAGAGAGAAAGGAGACTACGTGTTGAATTGGAAGACTAAGTCGTAGATTTGATTATTGCATTAATCATGTCTGATTCAGGTACGCTTTCGCTATAATTCTTGAATTTCTTGATGATCCAACATGAAAGATCTGGTGATTCTAAAGTAATAAATTATCCTACATAATGTGCATTTTTTTCTTTTACTTTTCTTGTCTTATAGTTATATACGTCTAGGTGGTCAACTGTCTGTTTAGATGAAATATCAGGGCATGTTCACCTGTAAGATGTGAAACACAAGATAAAAAGTACATGACCTTATTCTAGCCCAAAAGACTATATGGCTTCTATTTCGAATGCTTTCTCCACATGAACATTAAGAGCTTGCATTGTTCTTCCGCTCAATCGGCAATTGTAGAATTAGCTAGACACAATGACCCTGGCACGAGATTTTAGAACAGAACAAAACAACCATAATGTTGCAATTGAAATACACAAAATTGAGTAAAAATTTGATTATATTTACCTCATCGAGGTGAATGTTATTTAACATGAGATAAATTAATTACCTTCTAAAATTAGAAACCAGTCCGAGTTTTATATTGTTTTTAGGAGTCGAGATTTGTAAAGGTTATGCGTACTGTTTCCTTTGTACTAGTTCTATGACATATTTCAAGAATAGATCTTTGCATAAATACAGATGATTGTGCCCAATAAAATGGAATAATTCAAAAGGTGATTTATGTGACATTATTATTTTGATAACTAAATTTTGCAGATATCAAGCTCCCCGTTTTTGGGAAGATCTAGTGGATCATTGAGGAAAGGTGCAGTTTCTGGAAGCCGCGACACTTTCACCATGGGAAATGACTTTGATCCTACTGTTCTCGCATTCCTGAGGCTAGTCCAGGGGCTATGCACATAATCTCAAGTCGGCAAAGAAGTTCACCACTAGGTGTATCATCAGGCCCCAAGCTCGCTTCCACTGGCAGGAATAATTCTTACATAAAGAACTATGAGTCCACAATAAAGGGTATTGAGAATTTGAATTTCAATGATGAAGAGAGGGTACATTATTGAATGCCTGCATTATCACATTCTTGTATATTGTCAGATTGTGTGATAGATGTGATGTACGACTAAGACTGTTGAAGATGCTTTTGAGGAAGATTTGATTTGGAAAATGAAGGAAACGGGAAGTTGGTATTTGTGCTGATGAAGATTTGTAGCCAATAAATAGTTATGCTCCGAAGTTTCAGCCTCACATTAAGACCAATTTTTGACATAGCAAACGATCAAGTTGACGAATGATGCCTAAAGCAAAGTTGTAGCCTTTTGAGTTAGCTTACCAATGCATCTTGAATCATCTCAATTGGACATCGGATGCAAAAGTTATGTTAAAAATATTGAAAGATGCGCAGTCTACCTTTTAAGCCGAACCGGGCGCCATAGCGCCCTTCTTGGGCACCGCAGCGACCATATGACTGAAAATTAACAGAACAAGTGGCGCCGCGGCTCCCATATTTGGTGCCGAGGCGCCGAATATGCGGGAGAACGCATTTTTATGCTTTTGGACTTTTTTATTGGCCCAATTCAACCCTATTTCATCCAAGACCCCTAACATACTATAAGTACCATTCAAAAATCCTATTTTCAGGAGAGAATGGAAGTGGGCAAGATTGAAGAATTCAACCACACAATTTGAAGGAGGCAAAAAAATTGAAGACATCAAAAAGAAGGATGAACAACATCAAGAAAGAAGATTGAAGATCTACCCAAAAGACTAGTTTTTTCTATCATTTTCCTTATGTTGTTTATTATAATTCCTATAATTTTCATTTATTATACCATGAATTAAATAATTTATCTAGGGGATTGATGTAGTCGAATCAAGATTATGGTTTGATGATTTTATAATTATTTATTTGATTTTCCTGCATATATTTAATTGTATCATGATGTTAAAGTTTTCAATTGTCTGATCAACAATTGGATAATTTGATGCTAGTTAATTTCGGCGCTCGAGAGAGTGGGAATTTAGGCGTGATCATAAGAGTGATACAACATAGAATTTATAGGTTTCGAGAGAAAGTATAAATTTGTGAAGCTTATTCCATAAAAGAATCGGATCTTTAGTAAATTTTTTATTTTCAATTTTGAATAGAGATGCTAGAATTGGGATTTAGGGTTAATTTCTAATCGGTGCTCAAGAGAGGGGGTTAGAAATACATTAGGATTCTTACTTCTAAATATGGGAAAATTAATTGGAATAACTTGAATTCGTTGAATCATAATTGAAAGTTACGTGAAATCAATCCCTATGCCTTCTCATTTGATAATTTGTATTCCCCAAATTTGTCACATCCAATCACGTTAGTTTAGTTTAAATCGTTCATTCATAAAACATCAATTCAATCATACATTCATCTAAATAAAGTAGAAATTACATAATTATAGTACTTAGGGAAAATTAAATACAATCCCTGTGGGTTCGACACTCTTACTTCCGTACTATATTACAAAATTTGACACCGTACACTTGTGGTATAATTTCACGTCGTGGAAAACGCGTGGCAGCGGTGGAGGGTTTTGTTCATAACAATCGATGCCTATAGAGAGGCTGAAGGAAATGGTGCCGCCGCCATTCTTGAAGAAGACATTTCAAATGGTGGATGATCTGAATACAGATTCTGTAATATCTTGGAGTTCAACAAGGAATAGTTTTATTGTTTGGGATCCTCACAAATTCTCCATGGATTTGCTCCCTAAACACTTCAAGCACAATAATTTCTCCAGCTTTGTTCGACAACTAAATACTTATGTAAAAGCATCAATTCTCCCATTTTTGGTGTGGCTTAAAAAGTAGACAAAAACCTAAGTTAAAGTTAATAAACAATTTGGGAATGGGATCACAACTGTTATCAATTTTTTCATCATACATTTCATGAATGAAATCTACTAAAAATCTAATTTTTAGCTAAACCAAATAAGCGGGTTTAGTATACGTACTGATTTTGTTTATTGTTTTAGAACTCTGCTGCGCATAAAAGTTGGTTAAAAATTCCGGGTTTTGATTTTTGTACTGAACCCTGGGCCTCTTGTCATAGGATTAGTAATTAGTCTCAAGGTCAGGTAAAGACGGAGGAGGGTTGTATTACGGTTGATAGCCTCGTAGAATTTTATGAAACGAATCTTAGTGTGCTAATCTCGAAAAAGGATTCAAGTAGTTGGTTTCACGGTTGGTCTCTTAAAACTTCGACTTCCTAGTACTCCCCTTATAATTCTCATAGTCGATCTTAAGTTTAGACAAAGGGGGAAGAATGTGTTATGTTGACATACTGATTGAAATTTTGTCAAATATTACCAAGAATCATGACATATCCATTTTGTGCTGATTTGACGAAAAAAGATTCTCGTAGTTGATTCTTAAATGGTAGGACTTAGATCTTTCTCTTTTTGGGTTCTTATATAGCTTTTTGTGCTGATTTTTATGTGGTTTTGTTTTTTTCGGGGTTTTTTTCTATTGACACTGGAATGAAATGCCTCTAGATTGTATCCCTAACCCATAAAATCCAATCGTTTTGGGTTTTTCTTGTTCTGGTCATTGCTTTCTGCTCAGATGACTCGAATATTTTTTAATTTTGATTATGCCTCTTTTATAATTTCAAGATGATTTAGCTGGGAATTAAATTTTGTAGATGAGAATATAATTGGGATCTTGTTATGCAATCGTCCAGGGTTTCAGAAAGATCGATGCCGATAGGTGGGAATTTGTGAACGAGGGGTTTCAGCAAGGGAAGATACATTTGCTGAAGAACGTTAAAAGAAAAAATCAACGTACCCAAATCATTCATCAGAAAGTAGCATCACAATCTTGGTTAGACTCGTCCGAGTACGGGCTAGAAAATGAACTTGAGAAGTTGAGGAAGGATCAAGACATACTGAAAATGGAAATCTTGAAACTAAAGAAGCAGCAAGAGAACAAGGAAAATTATCGGTCTTCCATTAAAGATCGTCTGCAAAACGCTGAAACAAAGCAGAGAAATACGGTGGTATACTTGGTTAAAGTATTGAAGGATCCTCTCTTTTTGCAGTTTATTAAGAAAATGAGGCAGAAAAATGTCCTAAACAGTGTTGGGATGTTAAAGAAAAGGAGATTAATGAAGAACATTGATAAAAGTGTTCAAGAAGAGTTGACCCCAATACAATCAGAGATACAAGCATTATTCTCTACAGACAATTCCGGGTGGAACAAAAGGTTGAAGCTTCTTCTGAGGCGAATAGTGTAGATTTGAACTCTTGAACTCGGAGAATTTCATACTGTGGGAGAAATTGAAGGAAGACGTTATGATTTATGAGGCAGAAGCAGAAAAAGCAAAGCAACAGTCTGATATTGTTCTTGAATTTGAGGATTTTATTGCTAAGCTACCAGAGCGGGATATACCTATGAGAAACCACGTCGAGCCAGTCCAGTGCCGGGTGTCGAAGGTGTCATTTCAGGGGTAATGTCCATCCTTCAGGTTTTCATCCATTTCTATGTTTTTTTATAGGGAGTTGCTGTTTTGTAATGTAAATGACTTCTGTTGCCAAACCAGAATGTTGAGTTGGTAGGTATGTAGTGTTTTGTATACTATGCATGTTTTGGCAACTATGAATTCTCTAATATCTGCTCACAACTTAAGTCTTGATCTTGAGGATGTTTTTGGTTCATGAAAATCTTAATCTAATCTCGTTCGTTTGATAGCTTCAACTTTTAGTTGGAGTATCATTTTTCTATTTTTCATTGCGTAAATTATGACTGTGACTATGCAAGAATGTGTTTTGTTTTATTTCGAAATTCACTACTTAGAAGGGGAATTTTCGTCTTAACAATTGTTCCATTTCATATCACGTGTGCCAAGCAAAAATTAAGAAATTGAAATAATGAATCCCTATTTCTTCAACGTGAGCGCGAGTATTTCGAGGTAACAAAAACTTCTGAACTGTGCCCTACGTGACTTTCTGACTCTCTTCTAACACGACAATGTTGATGTTTATGAAAGATTGGAAAGCATTCGTATTGAAACTAATGAATAAATAGGCGCTCTTTGTTTGATCTCATCTCTTGGAGTCCATCCAACATTACAAACATAACATTACGAGTGAACCAGTTTTGAGTAAACCGGTGTGTTTCTCAATTAATTGACAAGACAAGAAGTGTCTTAATCCCAAATGAAATTAGTGCATGAATCTAAAATGTGGTTTAGACAGGCACCAGAAATTAACCCGTGAGTTGTAAGATTTGATTGAAGGGATAGACTGATCAATCTTTGTAGTCCAAACAAGCAAATATAGCCACAAGCTTTACCCTTGTTCGGTTATGATAATAATTAAAATTGGATAAACGTAGATGAAATATATGGTTGAAAAATTAATGAAAGTTGTAGATTCCATAAAATACGTGATCGAAAATAGATTTTAAAGAAATAGCGGTGAAACAGGAGGCATGCATCACAAGCTTACTTTGTGAGTGAACTTACCATTGGGATTCATTATTACCACGTTTGACGATGAAGATGATAACATGTTAATAGTACGGTCGAATCTTGTTTATTCTTATTAAATGCATTGCTCAAAACTTTCCATGCACATCAACTTCTTTAATGGACACTCTTCAAGAGCATTATTCCCTAGTTGGCCGATCTCGGGAATAGTCATCACCATCCATGACGACTTGATTCAATAAGAATCGAGCGACTGAGGGCCGTTTCACGGAGTTTTTATTTTTATTTCCATTTCTTGCAGAAGAGTTTCCAAAAAATTATCCATAAATATTCGAAAGAAATCTTAATCCTGGAATCAACTTTTAACTTCGGAAAAGTCCCGAAGAAAATGCAGAGATATCACATTCTACATCCTGGCGACATGTCATATGATATGAACTTGCATCTATTTATGTCCTTTAGTCTTCTGTTGCAGTTGTTTTTTTTTTTTTTTTTTTTTTTCTTCAGCACAAAGGTGTTTTCTATCCTTTGTTGTTGGTTATTATGTGATATGGAAGGCCAGTATTTGAAGAGTTGTGTTGATAGAACAATTTTATATAGATGTTCTGTAGGAATGTATGTAATTACAATGGCTAAGACTCCCAATACTTCTGGTGAATCTGATAACCAGAGGTCCCTACTCACAAGATTAATTGAATTAAGTAAATAAATTAATTTTTTTTCTGGGAAAAAGAATGAGCACATAGAGAAGAAACGAAAATGCTTCCTTTTATTTTTCTTCGTAAAGCTGGAAGTCTCTGTCGGTTTTGTTGTGGAATATTAGAACTTTGGAGGGTATATATACTAATTTGTTATTTTTTTCTTCATTTAATTTTCTGAATTTGCAGGTGCCAAATACTATTGACTTCCTCCTCTATTTCCTGGATAAGTAATGTGATTAAATTTTAATTTTAAGCCTTAGTATTTTATTACATTATATGTACATTATGTTATAAGGTTTGTCATTGAGCATATACAGGTATTGTTAGGTAAGAATTGCCCTCGATAATGAAAATAGCAAGACTTGGATATAGATTTCACTAAGAATTAATGAGGCTCTACATGAGTTTCAAATATGAGTTACAAAACAAATTCAAACTCTCTATCTCTCTTAAAAAGAACAAACTCTATCTATTCCAAATCCTCACTTAGTGCTCAATTGTTTTTGGCACACACTCATTGAACATACATACATATATAATGAACACGTCCAAAGGCCTATTTATAGATTTTGTAAGGAAGTTTATCATTTGACAAATACGACTATAATTCCTCCTCTAGAAGTTGAAAAATCAAAGATGAACTCGATCGACCAATAGGCTTTCTGTCCTTGCTTGACTTGGTAGATTTACTTGTTTGAATTTTCTTCTTGGTGGCAAAGAATAATTTGATAACTACAACTTATCCTTTAAAAAGGTAAAATTCAACTTTGCTTCCACCACTATCATTTTCAACCTTATCTCTAAGAAGTAAAATCAAAATTGTTTCCACTTCTAACCGGTATATGTCTTGAAGTAAATTCTGAACACCTCATTTATTTTGGAAAAATCTTCCCAGCAGGGCTCATTTATTTTTCTCCAAATGCCAGCAAAATTTGAAATATTATTTGTTTTGCTTCTTTAGGTTTGATGTTAACTTTCCCTTTGAGGCTAGGTAACTGGTAAATATGTCCCCTTTAGGTGGAAACTATAGTAAAATGGTTTTTTGATTACATTGACTGGCTCAAAAGGACAGAGAGCAAGGAAATATAACGAAATTGAAAGCTGAAAAAATACTAGGCACAAACAACCCCGTCCTTTAAATTAACCTTGAATGCTACAAATTTGATTACCAGTTTAATCCATGATTGACAAATATATCCAATTTTAGAGCTCACTGGCCAACTAATGTTAAACCTGAACCTCAAGGAGCAAAGTGGGAATCCTTTGAAGTAGTATTTTTACTTACTCGACTCTTTTTATTAGGACGTTCCTATAAAAGTGAATTTGATAATTTCATTTCCCTTGCTGGCTTCCTATTTGATTATGTTTCCAATTGGACTATTTTGAAGTATCAACAATCACAGAAGGGTGCTCCTCCTTCCAGGACTCTTATAAGTGATATAACAATGAAATTTTCTTCTGTAGGTAGTTTGCTATTCATGCATTTGATGAATTATATGCTTACTGTAGGGCCAAACTCCTGGTACAAGCTCGGGACTACCCCCTGCAACCCCCAATGCTGAACGGCAGCCTGGTAATTTCCTGTTATTGCTTCTTTCTCTTCTTCTCTCTGCATGTGTAGTTAGATAATAGATACAGGGTCCGACTCACAAAGTTCTTAGACTGATTTATTTTTTCACTATTCTTATAGTGGGTTTACTGTCACTCTGTCCCTGAGGCCTTCTTAATGCACTCGTGGGTTTAAAATTAAATATTTGTCAACTTTATTCAGGCGATGAAGAGGGGTGAAATTCTGGACAACTTATTAATGCTGGAAGTTTGTCCAACCAGAAGATTCGCGGTGCAAATGATTCAACCAGCAAAGATGCTGTGGTGAGTATATAATGTGCTCAGCAAGATAGATGATGCATTATCATATCGTTATAAGGCCCAGAATTATTTCCATTTCCTTATTCAGATTCCATATCATAATTGGGCCCCGACAGGGAGTTTCAGAGAGAATTATCGTAAGATTTCTTGATCACCCTTTTTCTGCATGTAGAATCTTCGTCTGTCTCTCTCCAGTCCGATCTTTCCTCAGTGCATTGTGTAAGGAATTTTAAATGATCATATGGACTTATATGTGCAAATTATTGTGTATTAAATTAAAGGTTATCGAATACGATTGAGCCTATTTAAAGTTATCTAATAAAGATGGGAAAAATTCATATGTAAGGTGTATTGTTTACACCAATTCACATATGAGGTACAAAGTTTAAAAATTCAAAATTCAAGTTTCTACATAATTAATTGAAAATATTTATTAATTAAATATAATAAAGTCACAATTACACGATTAATGGTCACAGATTCATAATTATTGGTCACAGATTTACTTATTGGTCACATATCATCAAATTAATTGATTACAGATTATTTCGAGGTCACAAATCAAAAATTTTGTAGGTCACAGATTATTTCGAAATCACAAATCAAAAATTTACAAGTCACAAATTATTTCATTGGTCACAGATTAAAAAAATTACGAGTCATAGGGTCACATATGTTTAAAATTATTGGTCACATATTCTAAATAGTTGGTCACATGCACCAAATACCCCCACCACCAATCCCAATCCAGAACCAATCTTGGTCACAAATCACCACCATGCAATTGCCGCTTGCACCACACCATCGACTGCACCTCACTAACACCGTCAACAAAACAAACACCAATTCAGCAAAAAAGCCCACAGTATAAAATTCAACCTTCATTTCATATAAAATCATTAATTCAATGCCAAATCAGCCAATTGTTCAACCGGGTTGCTAGCCTACTGCTACGACATGTTCCTCAGAACCCCCATAGCCTCTGCAACCTTAGCTTTTAAAGCATCTAGTGATTCTAGCAAGTGTAAAAAAGCTTTCGTCTGGTCCATTTCCAGAAGCTTGCCCGTCACCTTAGCTGTCGTGTCAGGCTCTAGTTGTTCGACCAGTGGGTACAGATTTTCACCCAACATAGTCCTTTGTTTTGTGGGTGAGGCATTTGCAAGAGCAGATGCCAAAGCTCCAATGCGCCTCCCCCACGTCAGTATTGGCGCACCAGCGTCGAAGAGAGAAGGTGGAGTCGGCCCAACCCCATTGCCTGTGGATCGGAAAGAGAAAGGACATCGTGACGCTACGTTCGCAACAGCATCGCCTCCCCCATGCCGTTGCGCTCCTTCGTCGTCGGTTGCAGTAGTCGCTGGCGTCAATCAGATAGAGAGGGGATGGGAAAGTGTGTTGATGTATGAATGATTAGGGTTAGAAATGTGAAATGAATTGGGTAGATTTATTTAATATTTAAATTATTAAATCAATGCCTAATTTTTGCACAATGAAACTTTAACCCAGATCTTTGAATTGTAATATTTAAACACCTGATTTTATGTAATTTTCCCAATAAAGATTCGATTTTGGGCCGTTATGCATCCAAATAAGTGGAAATTACATGGTAGCGGGTCTCTGAAGATTACCATTCAAAAATCAAGGACCAAGTTTAATTGTTCAAAAACCAGGTTTTAATATAATAATTAAGCCCCTGTTTGACCCCCATTACGTGAAAAAATTAATGGGTGGAATAGTGTTTTTTTTTTTTGAAAAATGAGTGGTTGAAAAAGAATGAAAAATTTTCGATTTACGTATAATATTATTTTATGAAAGATTGTGTGGTTGAAAATAGGAGAAAGAAAAATGAAATGTAATGAAATTTAATGTAATGGGGCTCAAACAAGGGCTAAATATTCAATATTCAAATTTAATTCCCAAATCCTAATATTTTTATCCCTCTTCCATCTCTCACTTCTCTCTCTATCTCTCTAACTTCAGTCCCCCCCCACCCCGATCGATAGTCACCGCCTCTCTCCGATGCCACCGCCACAACACTTAGCAGTGAGTAAAACCTCCATCACTGTGAGCGTCGTGGTTTCCTCTCGGGTGCGGTCGCCTTCTTGCGCTGTGGTAAAATCTCCATCGTTGTGGTCGCGATTCGATTTTCAGCAGTGACAGTGTCGAGTATGGAGGTGATGGAAATTGCTGGTGGTGGTGGTAGTGGTTCAAGTTTTATTTAAGTACAAATCAGGTTTGATATAATAATTTAAATTAAAATATTTCACCCAATTATTCAAGCCCTAATTTTTTCCATTCTCCTTCTATCTCTACCGTCTTTCAGTGCACTCTCCCTTCTCCCTATCACAGATTCACAATACATCATCGAATATGGTGGCGATTCACAACGACGGCAATGCTTTCAAGCAACTCACCGACGGCAGTTTATCTTTTCTCTCTCTGCTCCTTTGAAGCAACCTCACTCGCTGGCTCCTTCGCGTCGCTCTTCAATCTCCAGTAGGTTTCTTCAATCTCATCGTCAGCTGCATTCGCTCATTCCGACGTTGTTATTTTTCGTCAACGCTGCGTCACAATGCTGCTGCAAACGGTGTCGTCGCAATGCTGTTGCGATGCTGCAATCCTCGGTGCCGGCATGGGGAGAGGATTTGGGGGTTTTTTCTCTCTTTCTGATCTGAAGAGGTTGTGGTGAGCAGTATATATGGGCGGGTTTTGGTGAGTAGTAGATCTGAAGAGGTTGTGGTGAGCTGATTTATGTGATTTGTGTGGTGGTCCTGGATATAGATGCTATGAGATGGGTGGTGTGGTTGAATGTGGTGGTGATGAGTGTGGGTGTGATGAGTATTGTGTTGGAATGGGATCGGGATAGGGTGTGGTGTTGCAGGGGTGTGTTGCAAGCGGCGATTGATCGGTGGTGGGGTGTTTAGAATCTGTGACCAACCATTTAGGCGTCTGTGACCAGCTATTTCATTGATTTGTAATACAAATTAGCTTTATGTCACTAAAAAATTAAAAATTTGCTCGTGGTGGCGAGATGGTGTAGTGTGATGCCGTCGGTCATTGTGTTTTGGTGTCGTTTTGGTTGTTGTTGGTGGTGGTGGTTGTGGTGGTGTTGTGGTAGGGTGTAATAGTATTTGTGACCAATTATTTTGGTTGCTCTGTGATCAAGGATTGATGGTGGATTGGGATCGGGAGTGGAGTGGAGTGTTTGTTATACGTGACCAACGATTTTGTCTGACTTTAAAATTTAATAATATGTGATTATAAAATAATTTGTGACCTCAAAGATTTGATCCGTGACCTTAAAATTTGATAATCTGTGACTATAAAATTTTTAATTTGTGATTTCGAAATAATCTGTGACTTACAAAAATTTTTATCTGTGACCTCGAAATAATATTTGATCAATTAATTTGACAATATATGACCAGTAAGTAAATCTGTGACCCACAAATATGAGTCTGTGACCATTAATCGTGTAATATTATCTTTAATTAATAAATATTTTTAATTAACTAAATATAAACCTGAATTTTGAAATTTTAAACTTTTTACCAGATTTTTGCATTGGTGTAAACAATACACTTGAGAAATGAATTTTTCCCTCCAATTAAAGTGTGGGTTTATATATGTGTAGATACCGGGCCCAAATTCCTAATTCTATGATGAGCCGAATTAGGTCAAAGGACATCAGTATATATAAATTGTTATGGTCCTCGAATCACACGTAAAGAGAGTACGTATTTTTCATTATCTTTTGCATCCCATCACAGAGAAAAAGGAGACTATGTGTTGATTTGGAAGCTAAGTCGTAGATTCGATTATTGCATTAATCATGTCTGATTCAAGTACGCTTCCACTATAATTCTTGAATTTCTTGATGATCCAACATGAAAGATCCGGTGATTCTAAAGTAATAAATTATTCTACAAGTGATATCAGAGCCCTTTTCATGTTGAATTATTGAGTCAAAGTTTTAATTTGGTTCTTGCAATATTTTTTGAGTTTTCAGATTTGATAATTTTGGATAAAGTTTTTTTGAATTTGAAAACTGCTTGGTATGTAATTCTTGGTTATATTATTGGATCTGGATTGAATCCTTTAAAATTTTCGGATTATGAATTTTTTTTTATTTTTTTGAGGTTAAAAAAACAAAAAACTTATTTTTTGTCTGCTCGGAGGCAACGTCGGCGGCAGCCAGCCACTGCGACGTAACAGTGCATACGAGCTTCTCCAAAACACAGCAGCGCCGAGGCTGCTATGTGGTGGGGCTTCCAATCTGTTCGCCTGCGCCGCCCAATGGAGAAGAGAGGAAGGATTTTTTTTTTTTAGGGTTTCAGTTTGGTTTCGATATGATTTGGGGACGGGGGCCTCATGTGCAAATTAGATTACTTAAGGTCCCTGCTTGTAATTAGGGTTAGGACGGGGGCCTCATGGTTTCGATATGAATTAATTAATTTTGCACCCCTAAAGTCTTGAATTATTAACCCTAAGGCCCCTAAAGTTTAAAACTAAATAAAATATGCAAAATTGGTGATTCTTTTTCTCAAATTTTGGTACTAAGAACTCTTTTAAGAGATATAATGTTCGAAAATTAGTTAATTGAAGCAACATGTTGTCAAAGCAACCTCTCTTGTGAAAATTGATTAACTTAGAATATTAAAAGGTATTTGTGTGTGTCTTATTCATGCGAATATTGATTGGCCCAAAGGAAGGTCAATATTTGGCCGAATTTCACATGCACCTGTGGTGGTAAACATGTGATGATTATTTGGTTTAACGTGTAATCAATAAATCGATCCAAAGAAAGGTTTATTGGTTGACATATATTTATTGTCAGTGTTTGATCACTCACCAAGAGTACCATTTACAAGTCAATATTTCTATCCAAAGACTGGATATTGATGTTGTGCTAGGTATCTTGAAATGGGTCCTACCATTATTTGAGAATTATATTATTTGCATATTAAGGATATTCATGTGAGACATTCGTAATAATTGTTCTCCAA